CTGAATCTAATCTAATCTCATTGACGTCTTTTCAGAACGATAGCAGATCCACCAGAGTTGATTTGGACGAAAGTATGACCAAAGAGGCGGCAGTGTTGAGTATCAGGACCAACGAAGAGACGGACGCTCGACACACGGGAACGTTAATCTTTATCACAGTAATTTTTTTATGGTGTTTTATGATACTAATGCGATTATCATTTATTTAATTGGAAATGATTGAAAGTAAAATGCAGCCGTTGCAATAATTACCAACTTGATAATGTTTTTTTTTAAGGGGTTATTGAGATTATTACAGGTTAATTGACATGTCATTAAGAGCTTATGGCGTAATTAAGATCACTCATTGTTGCCATAATTCACACTAGACCAACTGTTTGATGGGCTTATTATTTATGCTGGTGTGTGTGTGTGTGCGCGCGCGTGTGTGTTTGTGTGTGTGTGTGTGTATGTGTGTGTGTGTGTGTGCGCGCGCGCGTGTGTGTGTGTGTGTGTGTGTGTGTGTGGAATTGCTTTGTTAACCTGATAGTGTGTGTGTGTGTCTTGCTGGTGGGGTTTTGGAAGAGTTGAGTTTCCGTAGGTCATCGGCATTGTCTTCGTCCACGTCAAGTCCTCCTGCCATTGTTCCTACTTGGCTCCAGTAATGGTACAAGTCCAGTGTTTTCCCAGACAAGTGTTAGCGCCAGCGGAGTCCACAGTCGGGGAAGTTGTCTCAATGTTCGTATGGAGAGCGACTCACACACAGACGTCTCTCTCTCTCTCTCTCTCTCTCTCTCTCTCTCCCATTCAGAGTTTCAACAATAAAAACCCAAAACACATTAGACAATAGCTAGAAAATTGCCGGTAATGAGAACACGCGCTTCGCTGTAAAAGAAAACTGATTAATTGTCTAAAGAAACTGCTGGATCGTTTAATAAGGAGTAGTCAGCCACCCGAGAGAGAGAGAGAGAGAGAGAGAGAGATGTTGATTAATCTTACCTTCACTGAACAAAACACTGTACCAAACCTTCTTCAGGAGATTAACGTCACTGAGAGAGAAAAAATATTAAATGCTACATTATCAGAATTTCTAAGTGTTTGTGTGGGTGGGTGTGCGGGGGGAGAATTTTCACTTATTTAATCGTGTTAAAATTTTAAGTCTGAGAGAAATGGATTTTGCCGTCTTATATACCTGTACATGGAGTTAATCTTCCTTTCTATCTCTTTCATTCTTTCCTCATTTTCTCTCTATCTTCCTCTATTCTTCCTCTTCCGTCTTGCCACACACCCGTTTCTCTTGTTTCTTTAATTATTCGTTTCCTTTACATCTCTTTCTGGTAACATCCTATCTCCCTTTTAACCCTTGCTTTGTCTTCTCTCTTCTCTTTCCTTTCCTTCCTAAGCCTTCTCTCCACTTATCCAACCTTTCCTTCCCTCCTTTTCTTCTTTCCTCCTCCTCCTCCTTCTCGCCTAGGGTTCCCTCTTCAAAGCTGAACCATAACTTGTCTGATGAATTTTGACATGTAGAGCAGTCATGATCCATTAGGAGGGAACGGGGAGAGGGAAGAGTGGGTGAGAGGGAAGAGTGGGGGAGAGGGAAGAGAGTGGGGAGAGGGAAGAGTGGGGAGAGGAGAGGGAAGAGTGGGGGAGAGGGAAGAGTGGGGAGAGGAAGAGGGGTGAGAGGAAGAGTGGGTGAGAGGGAAGAGTGGGTGAGAGGAGTGGGTGAGAGAGTGGGTGAGGAAGAGTGGGTGAGAGGGAAGAGTGGGGAGAGGGAAGAGTGGGGGAGAGGGAAGAGTGGGGGAGAGGGAAGAGTGGGTGAGAGGGAAGAGTGGGGGAGAGGGAAGAGTGGGAACAAAGAGTAGGGGAGAGTAAAATGAAGACGAAAAGAAGGATGGAATAGGAGAAGAGGTGAAACAAGATGGGAGAGAGGAGAAGACGAGGAGAGAGTGAGAATAGGTGTGGGAGGTAGCAAAGGTGTTGTAGGAAGGAGAAGAAGAGTGGAAGGATAGGAGGATGTAATAGAGAGTGGAAGGAAGGAAAGAGGGGTAGTGGAGGTGTGGATAGGGAGGAGGAGGCAAGGAGAGGGTAGGAGGGTGAGACAAATGAGAGAGCTACTGTAAATTAGAAGATAAATGAGGTGAGGTAGAAGGAGATGATTGGGGAAGAGGGGAAGAGCAGATCAGAACACCATTACACTACCACACTATCACACCATCACACTATCACACTGCCACACTATCACACTACCAAACTATCACACCATCACACCATCACACTATCTGACTATCACACTACTACACTATCACACTGCCACACTGCCACACTATCACACTATCTGACTATTACACTGCCACACTACCACACCATTGCACTGTTACAGCACTGCTCGTAGTTCTTGGAAATAAAAATATAATTATTGTCATGACTAAAAATTTTATTCCATGCACATACATTTGACTGTATACGCACACGCATAACTACATAATATAAATATATACACAGGTATACACAAGTACAGTACATATGCATTCAATCACTGCCATACACACTCATACACCTTTCTGTTACTTTTCTTTCTTTCATTCCTACTCTCATCTTCCTTCCCTGCCACTTTCATCATCACTTTCTTTCCTTACCATTCTCCCCAACTTCTCTCCCTGTCACTCTTCCCCATCTTTTCTCCCTCAACATCTTGCCCTTAACTCCCCACCACACGGCCGCCTCAACACCCAGTCAGAAAATTTAACAATTCCCAAGGCAGTCATCCCGGGAAATTGGATCCTGCGGCTGTAAGAGTGTGACTCCTGTTGGTGGTTGTTGTGGTGATGGTGGTTGAAATGGGCTTGGTGGTTATGTTGGTGGTAAGGGGTATAGTGGTGGTTGTGGTCTTGATGCTGGTTGTGGTGTTGGTTGTGGTGTTGGTGACTTAAATCCGCAACACACTTTAGATAATCATATTAGAGCACACACACACACACACACACACACACACACACACACACACATTGTGAAATTTTGATAATTAATTGTCTTAATTGTACCAAATATAATTAATTATGCTAATTGATATTAGGGCACTTGATAATCAGAATTAAGTACTTTAACGGCCTTTTCGTATTTGTACACATTTTTACACAATTTTACGTATTTTCGACTGTTTACGTATTTTTACATCCTTTTACTTATTCGTGTCTTTTCATGAAATATTTGTGTCTTTTTAAATTGTTATACAGTATGTCTTTTGATATCTTTTTGCGCATTTTACAAAATTTTTAAATTTTTTCTTACAAATTCTTTTTACGTCTTTTACGTATATTTTTGCGTGTTTTGACAGCTTTTTACGTATTTTAACGTATTGTTACGTCTTTATGCGGTAGTCGAGAGGAGTGAGAAAAGTTAAGGCTTACCCGAGAATTCAGGTTTATTCGTTTTCTATAACAAGAAGCTGGTTCTGAAAAAACGTAAATTATTTTGAGGGAAACTAACGTATAGAATTAATCATATACTATATTAATAAAAATATCAAATCTAACCGCCTTAATGATGGCAACATATTTCTGGGAACTATATATAGTTCTTTGATTTATAAAAATGAATATAATTATGGAAGCAGGAACGGATAACTGGTTGGGCAAACTGGGTTCAGTGGCTCCAAGGGTTTAAGAGCCCCGGCCAACACTCACTATTATTCGAATTGTGGATATCATTATAATTTATGTTGTGTTTCTTTTTTTGTTTTTACTTATGATTGAGCCTAATTCAATTTATTCTAGAAGCACAAACATTAATTATTTTTTATGTCCAGTCTTAGTACAGAAAGGAAACCTGAGAAGTGAGCACCCGGAGAAAACCAATCAGGGGTGATTATCATTATATTTTTTTATTTTTAGGTCGTTATTTACCCCCTACCCGCCCCTACATAGAGACGGCCGTCAAACTGAATAACACAGACTCTCGCCTCGTAGGGCAGCTGCACCCCAAGTTGACTGCTGGTGTGTGTAAGGAGTGAGAGTGGAACTCGCAACTCTTAGAGTGCGCTATGACGAATGGGTCAAGTGGATATACAGTAACGGTAAAATAGTATCCACGGCATTGGTAGTTAGGATGTATTTACAGAGTTCGTCAAAGGTTTTGTTAAGTGGCAACAAGGAGCAAATTGGTCTGCACTCTGAGATGTAATGCTGAAGATGTTTTTTAATGTCGCCACAAATTCGACATTGAGTAAGTGCAAGGGAAGGATTTCTCGTGAGCTCCCAACTACTTCACTGAGCCGAGTCAGACATTTATTCCGGCCGTATCTATATTTAGTGTTCACAATGTTTATCATAGTGGCGAACACTAATACTGGCACTTCGCTGTTCACTTCGTTCATGATTTGAAGATCGGCTCTCTTGAGGAGCGTCTTGACTCAACCAGTACTTATGGTTGAGCGTCATCAGGGATAGGGAGTGTGCAGGCAGATTTTGCGAGGCCTGTGTGTGTGTGTGTGTGTGTGTGTGTGTGTGTGTGTGTGTGTGTGTGTGTATGTGCGTGTGTGTGTGTGTGTGAGTGTGAGTGCGTGCGTGCGTGTGTGTGTGTGGGGGGGGGGGTACCAATGATCCCCCGCAACATTGTTGGATCTGCTTTTGTGTGGTTAGATATTGTTGGGTCAGATAACCAAGTGTAAGCGGAAAGTGAACTTCCCTTTTCCGATACAGTTGTGTGTATCACTGAGTTAAAAAATTAAAAATTTTAAGTTTTAGATTTGTTTTATCTTAATTTTAGATATTAATTCTGTTAACGTGATTATTTTTTTTTTCGTAATTAATTGATATTTTAGTCATTATCATCACTAACACCGTTATCACTTCAGTAACCAAATTTGAAATGGCATTGTTTTATAGAAAAAGACGATTTGTATTTTTAATTTGGTTAACATGTTTAGATAGAGTTATAAATGAAAATTGTGCTATCTTGTGGTTTCCTGTAAAACAGATAATCTGGCAGTTGTGCAGCATTGAAAAGCCCGGAGCACTATCGACGCCAGTTCAGTCAACGAGACAAAGAGCTCACACACTGCATTACTGTTAATAATAAATCATCGCACTCTACCACCTCCATTGCTGCAGCGGGAGAAGAGGCAGGAGACAACAGACCCACATATCTTACCTGAAGCATGAGACGCCTGGTGGTTATAGTGGCTGTATTATTGGTGATGGCTCGGCTGGGTGAAAATCGCCGCTTGGAGCAGTCAGCCGTAGACGTCCACAACCACGACTACATGGAAGATAGTTTAACAGTCAATGACAACTTGTTTTCACGACTCTTGAGGAATGGCATATCCTACATGCCAGTGAAGGTATGTTTGTACTCCTGAACGGCTTGTTTATTTACAGTATATATATATTTTCGGTTTAAGTAATGCAATTTTAATATTGTTCATAGCATACATTTAATTAAACTACCATGTATAAATTATGAGGGAAGAGTGAGTGATTTTCGATTTAGTGATGATAGAAAGACACATAGAAAGTTATAAATGTACATAGGAAGCGAGGTATGAAAAAGTGAAAGAGGGAAGGGTGATGTGGTGATGAAGAGTGATGCGTGTGGTTGAGGTTACTTGAATATTAAGATGGTTATAAGTCTCTTGTACACATCAGGTAATAATTCTTTCTTTCTTTTTTACATTCTTCGTTTAATATCATTTATGGTTATACCTTCACTGTTTCTATATATTTATTTACTTTTGCTCACTCTTAGTATGAACATAAGTAAAGGTGAGAGGATAGAACGTGTTCTCTTTTGCTGTATCAGTACAATATATAATAAATGATCTAGACTATCGGGGTTAAACGTGGTCTGATTTTTAAGGGTTAATAAATTATCTGTTCACGCTGAGTATGAAATAAACTTTTTTTTTTAACAAATTTATTGACAAAACTTGGAGTACAGTTTGCCTATTCTGAGTAATTCAGTCAGGTCTTGACACTGAGGGTGGTATCACTGTTCACTGCCATGCAGGACAGGGGTTCGTACACAAAGAAATGCATCATATTCATTAACAGTATATATAGGTCAGAGTCATGTGGGTGATGTCACTGTTCACTGCCATGCAAGACAGTGATTCATATACATTGGACGTCATATTCTAATAGAAGATTAATCAGTGTGGGATAAACAGCAAGACTGTCCTCAAGCACCCCTATTCAATGTAGTAATTACAAAGTTCATGATACAATAAGTCAGGTGGGCTGAAGTCTTTGACAGTGTTTCATTCAATAATAAAGTGTTCAAGTGTATGCTTTAAACTTTAAAGGTTTATCACAAAGTTTACATGCTGAGTGTTCCGGTATGGGTACAGCGTTACTAACTTGTCAGATGTGTCTGTATCCTAGCCTAATTCTGGCCACGACTACATCACATTGTCTGGTTCTGTCCTTATGCTGGCCATACCGGTACCTCTCGTCACAAAATTTGTCATATTCACTAATGCTACAACTGTCAGGTCTCTCTGCATTTCTCGGTTCTTCTAGATCAGAGTTCATGATTCTGACTTGAATGTTTTTTAAGTACAGTACAGCATTGGACAGGCCAAGGTCACAGTCTACATTTTCGTCTTGCATGCCTCATTGGCCATGGGACGGAATTCACACAAATTCGATACGAGAGTTTGTTCTCATTGGCAGTTAGTTATCACGTAGAAACTGGTGGGCTGTTCATTCATTTCAAAGCATTTGAGAGCCACAGAATATCACCCCACCTCCATTTCCTTTAAGGTAGTCTGTAGCTAAGTAGATTCCAATTAGTTCAGTTTGTGTTGTGCTGGCCCAGTTGTTCAGCCTTTGCTTGTTTGACACTATCATCTCTTTTTCTTTATATATTACAATTGCACAGCCTGTTCCACCTGTGTTTGTCTGCACAGAACCACCATTAAAGCATAACATTCACTTGATTTAATACTCTCTATGTGTCTGTTAATAGTTTTTAGTGTGACACATCTCATCACATCGGTGTTTAACATTTGCTTATTAATCATATCTTATAATGAACTAAACTCACCCTTGTATTGGTAAAGTTATTGTGATGGAACAGTGTGGGTCAGTAGATTCAATTCACAATGCCAGGCTCAAATTTCTACATCAAAAAGCCAAGGTTACAGCTGAACATAGCAAAAAGGTATATGGCTCTATTTCAGTTACCTACTTTAATTTGTCATGAGAATTTCAAAAACACAATTCATCTGTTAATTTGTCTTTTTCTGTTTAACTTATTGCGGAATTTTATCATAATCATGTATCTAGTTTAATTTATTTATTTTTTTCAGGTATATAATCAAATTTTCTATGGATTGAGACTTAGCATCTTTGATATAAAAAACTAAACATTGTCATTAGTTTTCCAGGTTTAAATAACTAGGATACGTCATTTATATTTGCGTTTTAAGTAAATAACACTAATTTTACGTTATTTCTATCCTACCTTTTGTTTTGTGTTACAGTGTAACGAGTGTGAGGCGTTGAGAAACGGTCGGTGTTACGAAGTATCAGGCTGCCAAACTAGTCCTATTTCGTTCCTCAAGTTCCTCCAGAATTCACACGCTATTCTCGTGTGAATTCTGAAGAATGAAAGATCACTGCCTGTATGATGAGCGCCTGTCACACTCTTAAGTCAAATATGGAAAATGAACATTAAATTACTGATATTTATGTTGTGTTTAACTCAGTTGTGTGATTAACCCCATCTGTATTAATTAACTTAGTTGAATGATAACTAAGTCAAAGGTATGATTATTTAGTTTAGTTAAATGATAAATTAACTCTGCTGTAACATTAGTCAACTCAACTCTATGGCATATTAACTCACCTCTATGGGTATTTTACTGAATCGTTTGAGTAGATGAATCTATTATAATAACTCATTTCAGTGATCAGTTGACGAGGACTTAGATTACCATGATTAATTATATATCTGTTTGTAAAATATATTCACTGGTCTTTGTTTTGTATCTAATTAACTCACTTGTATGATCAGTTCCATAGTTGTGTCAAGATATTGTACAATAAGATCGGTTCACTAAGTTGTATTACCAAGTGCATAATTTGTTCGGGCACTTGTATTACTAAAATACATTGTACGATTTGCTTCACCTTGTTTTATTAATGCATTTATAACATCCAATTTTATTATAATTTCTCTCTCTCTCTCTCTCTCTCTCTCTCTCTCTCTCTCTCTGTGTGACTGGTACTGCACTCTGTAATCTTCACTTTTCCGATTGCAAAATTAGGAATCCATTCACAGGTAGGTGGACTAGCGACCCTTACTTCCGTAGCACAGGCGGTGCCACACCTAATGGGAAAAAATGAAATACAGTAAATATAATTTCCTCTCTGATATGATAAACCAAAGTGATATACAGGTTACATATATTCTTCTGATGTCGTAATATCTTGTTCAAACATATATTACAATTTTATTTAACACATTAAGTGAGCGATTATATAATACTTAAGTTACCCCCAAATATTCTCTTTGATGTAACTATGACAGAAGATGGATATAGGGTAACAGTACTATAATAATAAGATTGAGTTTTGCTGTGTACTGAACATAAGCCTGTGTGTTAAGACCTTTAATTGGTCAAATTGTGCAATTATAAAGTATCAAGATGAGGTAAATCCTGTTATGTTAGCCATTTACTAAGAAATTGTGGTGACAGAGCACGTTTTACTGTGGCTGGATAAGGTACACTTAAGACACAAAATACACTCGTCAACTACAACCATCCCACCACAGTGCTCCAAAATTACCTTATTTAACTTTCTTTATTAAGTTTATATCACTAGATAACGGATTTTACCCCAAATTTGTATTATAATTTGTATACATGGTCAAGGCTGGATTTCTTGTTAATATTTCCAATTCATTTTATCGCGTATTTCAGAGACATGGTCATAAGATACGAGTTCCACTTAAGTCTGTCTGCCACACCCACAATTTCTTACTTCATTCATTTTATCCATTAGTTCTGTTTAGTTATTTTATTCCATATAGTTAATTCATAACCACTGTCCTTTGGTAGCATTGAGAGGGTTAGGACACATGGGTTACTGTAATTCTGATATCAAGCTATGGGCAAGAATAAAGGTAGATACTGAGGGAAAATGATACCCCTAACATGCTCTAAAAATGGTTTATTAATACGAAATTAAGTTTGGTTAAAGGTGTCATTAATATACAACTACAGGGATCAACTCCTTGGCTTTACTCATCTTCAATTCCAATTAGACACACTAGCTTCTTACATCATTACTGGTTATACATTTAAAAGAACACACCACATGACAAGCTTACATATGGTACACTTGAGTACCAGCAATACACGGTACCTGGGATTCACAATTCTTACTCAGTCACAGGACTCTAGGAACATACCCACAATACTACTTTAACATTTTCCGGGTTGTAGCTTCTTTCTGCTATTTTTCTACATTCGCCAAGAACAAGTGGCGACTTTATACTCTTGCTGTTTCCACATACTCATACCCTGAGGAGATACATATATGGGCACTCGGATGAATAACACATCCACAGCACACTCTGCTTAAAAGTGGACTCAAAACAAACAACACTGGTACTGAGAGCTGGCCGTGTTGACTATGATGCGTGAGCTCATCGTGGATGGATAGTGAACGCAGGCTGGCTGGCGGCTTGGCGGGCTACTCTCGTTGTTCTGGGTCGATGGGGCCCAACCAGCCAACACCTCTGTGTAAGTGACACCACTCGGTCTCAGTGGTTCCATCCATCTCCACCACTAGGGTTGGATGTCGTCCTAACATACAACGACTACTCTTGACTTACAGGAATCTGTGAATAGGGCGACGGTGGATCTTAGTCTGAGACGAGAGTCACTGTCTCTCGTTTCAGCCGTGCTCCACCACCTCTGTGTAAACACTCACACAGATATTTCACACATAGTGAAAATCAGGCTACAAACTCATTTCAATTTTCTCATATGAACTTTTCAAACTATGCAATGACTGAGTTTTCAAAGACAAAATTAAATTGATTTCAAGTTGAGGATGGCAGTCCCTGGTGGGAGGAGTGTAAAGCAAGGAATATTAAGTTACACCCCGTTAGATGGTACAGATAAGGAGGCTGACACTTTCCTTCAGAATAATTAATTGCTTCAATAATTAACATCCTTATAACAGTTTTGCAATGAACATCAGGTTTTCTGATGTGCATAGGTGAAAAATAGGTAACTTCAGCATTCGTCAGCAACTCATAGCGTCTCTAGGGGCGACGTCAATGATATCTCATTCTCACAGTAGTCTCTACCCTGACTTATATTGACATTTCATTAATATTAAATACAATTGAAGCTTTCAAAATCAGTCACAGAGGGTTTTGAATGCTTCATCTGTAATCAGACATATGATACATATCTAAGTTGATGCAAAACAGCGGTGTTCTCTCTCACACTCAAATTTACTTTATGTATTGGTTGGTATCAGGAAGTTAGAGAAAATGAACGGCACATAAGCTAGAGAAAACGTGTTTTTTCTATGGGTAACGCACCAGTTACCCACATGTTTTGGGGGCGTGGAGCATAATAGGGATCGTCAGGTTTCAAACAGACCAGCCGTGCCACTGTGACCATGACACTGTACAGTACAGTACAGTTAGCGGTACAGTACAATTATAGTACAACATAGTAAAGTAAAGAGCACAGTTCATTACAGTAAACAGTACAGTACAGTAAACAGTACAGTACAGTAAACAGTAAGAGGCTGCTCCTGGGACGTACTAATGGTAAGGAGGCGTATCATATGTCATAACAGGACGAAGAAACTGCATTAATTGAAACTGAATGTGAAAAGGACCTAGGTGTGCATGTTGACAATGAGCTGAAGTTCTTGGGCCATTGTGAGAAGTAGGTGAATCAGGTAACTAAATTGTTAGGTCTTATAAGAAAGTCGTCCGTCCCTCGCAACGATCTTCAAGAATGAGGTACCTCCCCGTCTGGAGTACTGTTACCTCGTCTGGTCCCCGAGATATGCTAGGGACTGTCAGTTGATTGAAAATGTCCAAAGGAGGGCCACCAGGCTGGTGCCAGGCACTTCGGCACCTCTGCTACCCCGAAAAATAAGAGCGCCTGCAATTGCCTAGCTTTTACTACAGACGGGAAACGGGGGACCTAATTGGGGTGTATAAACATCTCAATGGGCACTACTCAGTTGCGTGTCCTTACTTGGAGCTGGAGGACGCTCGCCCAACAAGGGATCACAGACTCACAGCTCAATGTTTAAGAAGCTGCAAGTCCAGAAAACTGTGAGGGATAACTTTTTCGGAGTGAGAGTTGTGAACTCTTGGAATAATCTGTCAGCGAGTGTTGTGACGGCACCGAGTGTGAGCTCTTTCAAGACCAGACTTGACCAACACTGGAGCAGGTTTAGATACATTCAGGAGCCAGTACTTCCTAACAGTGCGTTATATATATAGAAAAGGAGTCACACTTCGAAGAGAGAGTAGCGGGCGTCGTGGGTGAGGGCGTACACGGGTCCGTTCTCCCAGTGCCGGGTTAAGACTTTCGTAGGCCTTAGGCACCTCCAAGATATGGGGCCCCATTTGACAGCATATTCACTAATAACACAAGCTAGTACCTAATTATAAAATGTGATGTCGAAAGAATAAGATTCAGTGATGTTTGCCATGAATTGAGTAAAACAAAATGGGTTAGATCAGCTGTTGTTGTACAGTACAGAAATAGTTTTGTTTACAAGAAGCACAGCTAGCTGGTGGACACTAATAGGATTAAGTAATAAATAAATGGGAAAAAAGTACCTCAGTATCAATTTAATAATAACCTGTAGAAAAAGGGGAAGAAAAGTTCTCGTTTTATTTTTCGTAGGCCCCCAATATCTCGTAGGCTCTAGGCACTGTGCCTACTGTGCCTAATGGATAATCCGGGCCTGCGTTCTCCGCCTGGTGCTTGGTGGCCTTGTACAGCAGGAGGGGCCAGGGGGTCCTCCTGTAAAGGTAGGGGCAACAGTGTCATCAGGGGTCCTACTGTAACATTATGTATTAATATTATTCCTCTTTCAAAACATTTATTGGCAGACAATCATATCAGTAACTTAGACGAGTTAAACAAAATTTTACTTAGATAAATAGAGAAGGGAGTTTTAATCGCTGCTCTAATGGTTTTGAAAAGTAGAAACACAAAGGGTTTTTATACACTGTTATTTACGAAAGTTATTTTATATTATTTCAGGTTGAGCCATAGAGGTGTGTAGACTGCAATAGTGACATTAAATGTGAAGACTCAAGCAGAGATCAGAGATTCTTGATGTCTGCAGCCTTCAAGACCATAAAGAGAATTTGTACATCAGTTGTATTTGGCCAATTTAAATATGCTGAAAGTTCAATGTTCTGTAAATTTGATGGTTTTATCCTTGGTTAATAAGGAAGAAAAATACATTACTAAAAGTTATTTTGTATTTATAAATTACCAAATATTCGTGCAGTGGATCGTAATTAGTAGTGAAACTTAGTAAGCGCAGTATGGGAGTCAACCACGTGACAGACCGAAGGCCTGTACTAGATTAATGTTCAAAATAAAATTTCTTTGAAATAATTTACACATCTTTAATTCTCAACCCAGATCCTTAATGAGTATGCAAATTAGAACCTTTGTACGAAGTTTAAACTAACTCCAGATTTCGACCTAAAGACCCGAAAAACCAAGGTATTAGGTCAAGTGTACTTTTTTCGTGACGTCAAACATTTTTTTTGTAAAGTGAAAGCTTACTTTTACATGCGGTAAATATAGCGTTTGTTTTCAAGAAAATCTTCTTAAATTTCAATTCAGAGAGAAAAGTGTTTTATTTATATATTTAGTATTATTATTATTTTTTTTTTTTTGCGGTTTTGGCCGGAATCTATGATTCACGATTCGATTGCGGTGTAATTAGTGATCTTAATGACGTTTAGATCATTTTAATGTTACTATACTGTACATGGCACCAGGGTACCAGTTTAACGTCAAATCATTTCCCCAAAACGCAGCTGAAGCCATAAATCCGGGTGGGGGATTATCTTTCCCTTAACGTTACACAGTAAACAGCTGATATCACTCTTATCTCTGTTATCACCACTTCTCGCCTCGCAGCAATACTTGAGGGATTTGTCACTGGGTAGGTATGAAGGTTGTCGCTTATATCTTATCAGTTCCAGCACACAACCCACGTACTCTCTCCTTACTACGCCCCAACAACACGCCGAGTCGTCCACCCAATGACTGCCTCACCAATGTCGTCACAGATAGTTTCCTCCGATATGAGCTTCTTATACACACGTCCTGGTCCCTCTACTGTACTTGTCAATATATTTTTCGATTGAATCACGTGAAGATTAGCCCCAGCTCTTTTCACCTTAAGTTTAACCACCCTAGCCTAGCCTAACATAACCTAACCTAACCTCATCTAAATTGATGTAACTTGACCTAACTACCCTGGAAACGTTTGGGTGTTGATCATCTGGTCAATTAAGTTTGGGGTTAAACTTCATGTAATCTATAATTATAATCTTACACTAATTACAAATTTGGTCAGTGTACTCCAGTATACTCTCCTGCTTACTCGGTCGGTGTTATCGGGTGGATACTCAAAGGTTTTAATATCTCCCAGCTCTCTGTTTAAGTCGACTGTCGAGGTTGTGTGTCGTTTCTGCAGCGATACTCAAAGCAAAATATCAGCCATCTTGTGTCACCACATACTGTATCTTAGGCCGTAACTTTACAGGACCTTCAGAGCTCCTGTAATGATACTGACTCGGACATCGCGTATTTTATTTCCAGATTGCATAAGCAGTATATATTCCCTAGCTATAATAAATCTCATACTTAAGTTTTTTTATCCGAGAATACTGCAGAAAATAGGTTTCATTTATTATTTTAATGGAAAAAAATTAAAGGATAAAATGTATTCAGTTAAAAATGATGTCATAAAGAACTGATGTGCTTATATGTTCATGAAGCTGATCGATGTATTTTTAAGCGATCGAACTTTGTGGTGTGAAAGGAGGTACCCAGGGTGATGAACAATTGTGGAGATTCGATATATTTCCCCAATGTAAAATTTTAAAGCTGTGTGAGTAACTTGACACGTTTTTTTAAGGCGGAGAACGAAGAGGTCATACGCTTCACGAACTCAAAACCCCCAACTGTTGTTATTATATGTACTTTTCATAATATTTTTTCTTATTTTAATAAACTGTGCTACTACTTCATTGAATCGTTGAGCAGCGAATGTGATTTTTTTTTATTACAAATTATAAACATATTTTCTATTTTCAATTTAGTTGTTGGTGGAAACTAGACAAGCAGTGTACAGTAATAAAGTCCTTGAGCTGCCTCTTTCTCAACAGACGTCCATTGATCGGTCAACTTCCCCCGAACATCACCAACATCTCTTGGTGCTCGAGCCATAACATTCACCAGACTTTAAAACTGAATCCCATGACGTAGAACACTTGAAGACACAGTGACGCGGAACCAAAACGTACCTATCATCAGGTTTTCTCGGTTAGCGTTATATACCCTGTGACTCTAAGCTGTGATCCCTCCCCGTTGAACACGACGTGCATCAGCCTCAACAAACACTATCACACGCTTAATGGGAATATATCTTCATATTCTAATGGACAGTGATTTACACATTTCCTCTATTAATTCTGCCATGCATATAACAATATGTATTATTATGTACCATTTACTACCTCACACGTTTATATTGTTTCAGTATGTATATAGATAATGCACATATACATTGCTATCATATACAGTACTTATCTCTACAGTTGTATAATGTGAGTATAGGTGGACAAGTTTTTGATGATAATGGCATTAAGATACTAATCGTCATCTAGTCGTGATTTCCGATTAGTAAGTGATATGACGAAAGACGAGAGAGTAACTTACCCAACAGGAAGTGGCCTACGTTCACTTTTATCAGTACAATGTCTTAAAAGGCCTTCATAGCTTCTGTTTGTAAGTCTAAAAGTTTGAAATGTCTTAAGGAATGTGGTCCCCCTATAAACGGACCATAAAGTCCCCTCTGGTGTAATATTCACAACAGATCCTGGCGATAGGGCACAGAGAACGTTATCACATGTTATCAAGATAATGATTACCTCCATATCCTTCCTAACCCACCTCCAGCTGACACCTTCCCTTCACTCTCCTCACATAAGCTGACACTTTCCCTTCACCGACCCCACACAAGCTGACACTTTCCCTTCGCCCACCCCACACAAGCTGACACCTTTCCTCCCCCCACCCCACACAAGCTGACAGCTTCCCTTCGCCCACCACACACAAGCTGACAGCTTCCCTTCGCCCACCCATACAAGCTGACACCTTTCCTTCCCCAACCCAAGCTGACACCTTTCCTTCCCCCACCCTTACAAGCTGACACCTTTCCTCCCCCCACCACACAAGCTGACAGCTTCCCTTCCCCCACACACAAGCTGATACCTTCCCTTCCCTATCACCTAGTAAGTTGACACCCCTTCTCCCACCACCAGACTGAGTTTCCTCCTCCCTCCCCACCCCTTTCCCCCAAGAGATAACAACATCCCTCCACCCCAAGGTTCACCAGCCTACTCCCCAGTCGCTATTTTCCCGCCATTGCGTGCGCGTGTGTGTGTGATAGCCGACAGTGCCCTACACTATTCCCGGGGTTGTTGATATAATACAACATTTCTTTACCTTCATCTTGTGGTTTTGGTGAGGTGAGTCAATACTAATATCATAACCAGCTATTTATTTATTGTGTAAGTGAAAATCATATTCCAAGATGTGTGGTTCTGAGTCGAAATTCTCCTTCTTGGAAGCATTCCTCGGTTCAGCCCATCCCCAAGAAGGGTGATCATTCTAATCCCTTTAACTATCTACCTTCATCCCTCTCAAAGATTTTCGAAACTATCTTGAACTACCACTTACTCCGTCACCTTAAACACCTTTCTCTTTTGTCGTATCACCAGTATGGCTTTCGCCAGGCGAGATCTACTGGTGATCTGCTCTCCTATTGCGCCCATCTTTGGTCATCACTACTATTTTACAAGAATAATCCACGGTGCCACGTAAAATGGAATGAATTTGAACATCACACAATACATATAAATAAGTTGAATGCAGTGAAATTTTGAAGTTTCTAATCCGCAGAAAAATTATAAAATGGCAAAATATCTTCAAGGAAAACTAATACAAATGATTGAAAACGAGGAATAGGAGGAAGAGTGACCTGAGGGGAGAACTGTACGACGGGAGAATAATGTTTTGGTCATCTGAGGGTGTGTGATGGGTTGGCAGGTCACGTAACACCAGAACTGACAGCCAGTTCCCTGGACCACAATAAAAATAGAGCAGGAGAGATTTGTCTTTTTGTAGTTACTGGTGACTATGTGACTCATGAGGACCGGACACAACCCCCGGAGGACAGCCCCCCCCCCCTAGGTTAAAGTTCAGAGGAAGACAAAATCCTCCCTATTTTTTGTAGTGCACAGTGACACATTACAGATAACATATGTACAATATTCTCCCAAATTGGCTGACTTAAACTTAAGCAAATATTCTGTCGCAAAAATAAAGTCAAAACTGCACTCAGACTGTGGCGTAGCTTAACGTGTTCTACTAAACTTTACTTGTGGGAAAAATTAATGGACGAATATTGAAAATTCGGACGAGGCTCACGAGGAAAATAATGCCTCTTTAGTCCTTTCAGTGCGTCGTAATAAGTTTAAATATTGCTTTTTTGTCATTTCTTCCGTTGTCCATATAATTTCCCCTCTGAGACAACCAGAGCACAAACTATTAAGGTAAAACAATCACAAGTCGTAGAAACACTCACAAGAAATAGGCTGAGTGTCGTTGTACTTAACATTTTCAATATAAACAACTTTTTTGCAATCCCATAAGACGATTAAACAGAATAAGTATCGTTGAGTTTCTGGGGTTATGAATGTAAGTTGTAGTTGATGAATGTAGCTACATGGATTTTCACTGTAAATATGTTTCTTTTTTACCAGACCACCACAAGGTAATCTTCTTGCACGACCAGAATTATGACAGAGAAGAGCAGTAGGGTGATGGCGGCGAGGGGTACCTACAGCTACGACACGGTGGGGGCCAACCCTGGAGCCGTCCACTTTCTCACCACAATCATCATCGCCTTCAACGTCTTCTTTGCTGTGAGTATGTCCACAGTCAGCAGTCGTTCACTATAAAACACTGCAGGTTCTGGGATAGTCGCAAATACACGCACAAGAACGGGAATAAGGACAAGTACAAGTTTTCGTATAGAAAGGGCATAAATGATCATACAGGTAAAGTTATAGAGGAAATTACAGGTGAAAATACAGGTACACGAAACGAACCAAAGGACTGACTTACCTAACCTCGTTAAGTTAGGTTTGGTTGGCTCATTTCCTGTGCTATCTGAAATATTTTAGTCACATTGTCTGGGAACGACCCGATTGAGAATAAGAATCACATACCCCTTTTAGAATTATTTTTCGTAAGGTCTCACATTTAATTTTTACATTGTCTGACACAGGACTTTCACTCAATGTACTAAAATTTATTATACCATGAAGGAATCCGTCGAAAAATTTTAAGGAGTAAGTCCGTTCTGCACACCTTGACCATTAGTTGTACGAGTAGATCACTCCTAAACCACCACCACTATATCTCAAGTATGTTACATTTGGACTCCGTTACATCTTAACTCCATTATACCATGATTCTGGTACACCTTGTCCATGACACAGTATATACCGACTTCAGTTATTCTGCTTTAAGAAGGGCGCGACTGTCCTACGTGACGACAGAACCCACGTGATAAATTAACAAAATGCCACGTTTTAACACAGGCAGGGCGTGAGGACGTCAAGAATAGCACAGCATGCGAGGCAAAAATTACACAGTGAAAATTGCCGTGAAAATACGGCGAGCTCTCTGACGCGTTTACCACACGCGATTTACTCTAATAAAATTGTAGACGCGTAGTCGTGTGAGTGGTGAGCGGTGATGGAGTTCTCAAGAGAGATTTAGCATTGCAGTTTGGCATGTTGTCCTTGGCGTTGTTTAACAGCAATATCTTTGTTTAATTTTAGATCCTGGTGGTTATTTTAGGGATAACGGGAGTCTAAAAGCAGATGTTGTTAGCGAGTCTGCTGGGTTTGTAAGTTAAAGTATTAGTTTATTGCGTATATCAGTTCCAGGTGGATTCTATTGGCTTCTTTCTTGAATAAGTTTATTTTATTCTAAAAGAATCGTAATTATAACATACGTAATGATTTTCTAGCATCTGAAAATTAAATAACGTCAGTTATTCTTAATAGGGAGAACACAACTATCACAGCGTAGGCGAAATGGATGGCTTTATAGTCTGTGTCGAAGGTTCTTGACGCCGACTAGTATGTATCAGTACTGGGTCTGTGTCGATTACTATGCTAGCAGTATTAATGCTAAAGTTATACTGCGTGAAGTAATGTGTTGTGGTCAGGCTAGTCATAGTAAAGTACCTGACACACCAGGTAGGAGGCCAACATACAGTAGGTATTTTTTCAACTTGCAAGATATTCAAATAAATTTTGGTGACCTACAGACGGTATCAAACGATGATATCACTATGACTCAGGTGAAAGAATTACGGGCCTACGCCAAGTATAGTCAACGGTGTGTCCACCATTGCAGGCTGTGTCCACCATTGTAGGCTGTGTCCACCACAAGAATAATTATCGGTACATATGACTCAATGTACCACCTTGTATTTATACACTACATCTCTCTGGAGAATTGAGCTATAGATTTCTTTATCTGTCTTAAGTTAGACTGATAAGATAAACAGCTGAAGATACTAGATGCAACGATCGGTTTATACTTATTTCCTCTACTCCCATTTGGGTTTCCATTTTGTCTTCTTCTTTTTTGTCTATTCCCATTATATCTACTATGAAAATGTCACATAATCCTAAAATATTTGGTCTTATTTAATGGTAATGTTATACCATCACTCCTCTTTATCTAGAATTTGCCGCTAGTCAAATAAGAGGTGAGGTTTGATCGTGAGAGCATAAAGACACAACCCCCTGCCACCAGTGGTCACAGCAACAACCAGGGTAAACACATTACTCTAGTCTTATATCCGCCAGTTTCTTAATAAGCCCCAGATTAACTCATATTGAGGAGTCATACACTGCATCATTTAATTGCTGTTGTCCTCAAAGAGATACATAACCAAGAAAAATTGGTAAAGACATCCGGAAAATATTTGTAATAATGGACGAACATAGTCGCCAAACATGAAGTATATGGGCACCTGTGAATACCCAAAAGCAAGTGAGAGCCTGTAGTGCCTTTACATTGTAATGGCACTACGGGCTCTGCGTGAAGCCAAATATATTGTAAAGCTTACAATATATTTAGCTTCACGCAGACAGGTTTAAACTTCCCCAGACACTTACATTTTTTGTTTAAACGCTTATAAATTGTATCAGTTTATCAAATTATTTTCAGGAAAAAGCTACTTTGCCCGACTATGATTCTGAACAATCGCCTAACTAAGTAATTCTCTTCATATCTCAAACTACGAGCCCTTTTGAAAAGGTTTTCAGTTTGACCATAGAGTAACACTACTACAGCGTGTTTGCTGCAGTTGTGTATGTGTTACAGACAATCTGTGTAATAAGCCATTTCACTAAATGGCTGAAAACTTTAGTCATTTAGCAAAATTAGTATTTCATTCGGTGAATTACAAGCCAAGTGACAGCAAAGGCAAGTTGTTGTTCAGGTATTGTGGAATTGTTGTGAGCGATATAAAGTGAAAAGACTTAGGAATTGTACACTGGTAGTGTGCTGACTGTATATACAGTATTCGAAGTGAAAAGTCCAGTGGTAAAGACATACCCTTTGAACAGTTTGTGAAGACTTAGTGATTATTAAAGCCTGCAGTTTACAAGTGTGTTTCTGTGACCTGCCTGTTGTTTGTCTGTACACTGATACTGATCATCGGGAAATTACCGGACACTGGCGGGACAGCCAGTGGTAATTCGACGACACTTGTGATATATCTACTGCTTCTGTATTTCCGACCTGGCCCTTGGTAAGCGGTGAAAGAGTTCGTAACAATACTAAACTCTGCCTCGGCTTAAATATACAGTATATATTCTTCTGCTATTAAAAATGAGATAGAGGAAACAAAACAAAAATTTACACTTATGATACTGCAAGACATGTGTGACTAACAAGGAAATTATTACAGGTTGTGTTTCGTCATTACCTTGAAAACACTCCCCTTATCGCGGGGTCAACACTCCAGCCCGTCCGAACCTATCTACAGTACAGTTACATAGCTCTCACGGACACACGTAACCAGCTTCAGATAAAGTCCACGTGAAAGGAGTGACTCAGAGATTAAGCTAATCAAAGAACAAGTGTAGATAATGTCGCTACGAATAATCAGAAAATCTAGCGAAGTTTCCCTCATTACGTTTTCATTGAATAGTGTGTCACCCAAGCGTCAAATTAAGAGTATAATTATCGCACAAGGAATTTAGCCTTTGGAAATATAAAACGCAAGGGTTAGAATTAGATGGTTCTACAGTGATGCTTATAGCCCATAATGCCCCCTGAAGATGTTGTCGGAGAGGGTAGTCTTCGGACAACTTGAAATGCGTCAGAATACTCCGGAAGATTTAGAGATAAATATATTACAGTTTGGTCCTTGACAACCGGAGCTCTGGCTAGTGATAACTGGTCTGCGATTAAAAAAAAGATAACCAGCCAGTGATATGCCAGACTACACACTGAGTCCTGTTCAACTCAAGTAGATGATCTGGTTAATTAAAAAGGTGGAAGTAACAGAAAGTCAGTCACCATAGTTAGGTTAAAGCTCAGGCATGTATTATGAAGTACTAACTAAATGTGAAGTGTGAGTAAACTGCGACACTAAGCTATCAATAACACTACAGTATAATGTGTGTGAGTATTGGATGGTTTTCTTATTTTCCTGCACAGGTTGTTAGGGACAGTGTGGATGAAGGCACTGTTGATTCACTGCACTAGACCGACATTAGATTTCGTAACTATTCACAGCTTGGTGCATTCTGGGTGCCTTAAGCGAAAACCAGTGATCCTTGGGACGGAAGGTGAAAGCTCTATCTACTGCTTAAAATTATATAACTGTTGATACTCCCGGGTATACAGAGGTCCCCGTTAAAACTGACTGTGCTTTACCCAACACTAACAGGTAATTTTAGTGGTGCGACACACTGATTAACAGAGGTCGAGTGAAAAATTTTTGACGCTATTACTGATTCAAGTCAGCCATTAGCAGCAATGATACGTCATAATATGTCATAAACAGTGAGAGCCAATGAAAATGACGATATCGAGAAGTATATCACAAAGAAATAAAATGTGTTGCCTGGCGCTCCCTGTGACACTTGTATCATAAAACAATTAATGATATAACGTATTCTCCTTGATCAAGCAGAATAATGGCATTGCAACATTCACATGTATTTCAGCAAATGTAAATTATTTTTCAAAAATTAAAAATATTTATACACACACACACACACACACACACACACACACACACACACCACTACACGAAGTAACGCAAAGTCATACAATATTAGGATTTTACTCAAGAGGTTTGTGAAAATCTAGTTCTAGAAATGATACTCTATGAAGCAAACTGTGGTGAAACAAGTCATCAAATTCATTATATCTTTTTTTAAACATCTTTTTTCGTCGCGAAAATGTAACTGTTAATGTATAAACAGTAAATGGGTAAATCTCATGTCCTGTATAAGATAAGCTCCTTCACACCTTTAGGAATTGGCCGTCGAAACAAGAAATTTGTGGTTATAAGAAGAAAATAAAGACATACCAGGATTTATTTTTTTGAGGGGGGCAAAGTTATGAGCGAGTTGTGAAGGTGGATTAACTTTAGGCTGACACTATAGAAAGCTTCGTATATCAACACACATACACACAACTCCCTTTAGGCTATAGAAAAGTTGTAACAAGTTAAGGCCTTGGTATGAAAGGGATATGAACAACAAAGAGAGAGATCAACAGAGCCCGAGAGAGAGACGGGGTGTTGAGCCTATAGCAGGATGTAGTCGGATCTTCGTTACCACTGAATAATGAAGAAAACAAAATAATCCTTTATTTACTCGTTGCCAATCAATGATGAGCGAATCAAGTATAAGTTTTATTTTGTGATACTGATGTGAGTTCTACGCGAGGTGTTTGGGGAAAAAATACAGTACAGTTTTGGAATTTTGCTTTCTATTGTATATAATTGTTGGGTGTGTCTCGATGCAGGTATTGTGAAGTGTGTTTGGGTTTAAGTCATTTGTGAAACTAATATAAAGGTTATTAAGAGTTTTTTTCTTTGTCGTTGATGAAAGGTTTTGCTTTAGTGAATAATGAAAGAGTCACTGTCCTACTGACGAGAAATAATAAGATTTTCACTAAACTCTGTGTTTGGCAGCGGTACTTCCGTTCCTGTACCTAGTCACCCACACACACACACTACCTTACCACCACCACCACCCACACACACACTACCTTACCACCACCACCACCCACACACACACACACCTTACCACCACCACCACACTGCCTTACCACCACCACCACCCACACACACACCACCACACCCCACACCCACCACCCACCACACACACCGCTACCACCACCACCACCCACACACACACACCACCACCACCACCACCACCCACACACACACACCCCACCACCACCACCCACACACACGCGCCACCTTACCACCACCACCCACACACACACACACCACCCACCACCACCACCACCCACACACACACACCACCCACCACCACCACCCACACACACTGCCCACCACCACCACCATCCACACACACACACCACCCCACCACCACCACCACCCACACACACACCACCCACCACCACCACCCACACACACACACACCACCACCACCCACACACACACACACCACCTTCCACACACAAGCCACCTACCACCACCACCATACCACCACCACCACCCATACACACATACCTTACCACCACCACCACCCACACACACACGCCACCTTACCACCACCACCACCACACACACACACGCTACCTACCACACACCACCACCCACACACTCGTTCATCATTCCATTATCAACAGATTACGAAATTATTTGCTCTGACCTCACCGCCATTTGTTAGTCTGATTTGTCATATCAAAGGGACTTGCTCCTTCTTATTATCATAGTTTACAGCTACTTGGTCAATCCCAGTTGGTTTTCTTATTATACTGTAAAGCCTCGTAAAATACAGCGTTATTATTTTTGTTGTCAAGTTTGTAGTAGTCATCAATGGCTACTTATAGTTCAGAACAAAATTATACCGAAACTTTTGGAAATAAATGGCAGTGACGTGATGGTCAACTAGGTTAGAATTATAACATCGATTCACCCAGATTTCTTAGTAATATATATATATATATATATATATATATATATATATATATATATATATATATATATATATATATATATATATATATATATATATATATATATATATATATATATATATATATATATATTTATAAATTTTAATGTTAAACTGACCAAATATAAACAGTCACACTTTATGACTGACAAACTGATGGCAGGTACTTCCAAGCATCCAGGGAATTTTAGCTGTAAATAAAACACGTATAAATGATGACTTTGTTCCTTGTCTTAGTATTTTATTTTTCTATTAATGTTGTTAAGACTCTTCCAATTAAAGGGAGTTCTATCTCTTATAATTTGCTAATGTGAAAGGGTCCCTCATCACCCAGAGGCAACGGCATTGGTATTCAGGGCGAAAGAAATTAGCCAAGAAAGTTGAGGACTCCATCGACAGTTTCCGACCGTTTTTCTTAACCTTTTTCACCCTATTTCCCTCTTTTCCATATCCGCTCAGGACATTTTCCCCACCCAATTACAATAACAGAAAAACTGCACAGAACAAAAAGATTCCTACCTAACACAATAACAGAAAAGAATTACCTTACCTTGCCAATAGTAGTTCCATGCTAAGAGCGTCTGAGCTGCAGTAATTGATTGATTTATTGGATTTCCTGACCGTCAACTGCTATGGTTATTACGGCCGGAGACTTGTCAATAAGACCGGTTTCTCTTGTTTATCTTCTTTTTGGTTACTTTCCACATTTCTTCTTGATCTTGTTGTTCTTGTTCTTGTTTCACCGTTTTTTTTTTCGTTTTCTCTTTTCTTCTTCCATAACTACAAGGAGAGCCTTCTTGTAGCTAAGTTGTTTCTGGGTTCGCATGTTAGCTGCCCAGCTCTACTCCCTCCACATGGGACACTCCCGATCGGAGGAGGAATGAGGGCCGCCACAAGCTGTACATTTCTTATGTTTCTTACACGTGGTGTGTTGGTGCCCTGTGGTCCTGCGCTTGGTGAAAGCCTCCCGGGCCTGGTACTGCTTGGCTCGTTTGGGTCTGGCAAAGTAGGTCTTAACTGGGATAGTCTCCCATCCCAGTTCTACTTCTTGCGGTAGTGTCTTTGAGTAGCCGACCAGGGCCGCTTGACTGGTCAGCTTCTTATCAACGTACAGCTAGTCAACGATCAGTTCGGCCAGCTCACCTTGTTCAGGGTGTTGAACTTCGGCGTAGATCACTTCCATCATCAAGGTGTCTTCTTCATGAACTTCTATCTTGGTTGGGAAGTCGTTGATGACATGGAGGTTGAGTTCTTGGGGGAAGATGTGCTCGACCAGGTGCAGCCAAACCACCTTAGCTAAGTCCCATTGCAGCGTCATGTCCACGTGGTACCTCGGGAACAGAGACAGGTGTCTTTATTCGCCAAGGTGTAAGTCTTTATAATTATAATCCCGTACAGAGGGGAAGGGGGGGGTATTCCACTTGAGTCATAGGACAGGTACTCGAGCCTACCAGGACATAAACTTGGATGCTTCAGACTCAGGACAGGTGCTAAAGTCACACCTCACAACTCAAGCAGCATTACAAATTCTCAAGCGTTACAAACTCTTATAGATGTTATGAAGCTGATCCATAACACAGGAAAAAGTTTCTTTATGGTTTACTGACTCCGAAAGTTCTCACGTCTGATTCATTGGATATTTTATACAATGTCTAAGAATAGTGTGCGGTCAGATTTTGTTTATTGCTCTCGGAGTCAGAGCAAAACTTTCTATAAGTCTACATACTACTTTGGAGTACACGTGAGTTACGACTGAATGTTTTAAAATTTAGAGAACGATAGATTATGGCGTTAGGGATCACTTGTTAGTACAGTCTGTCCAGCACCTTTAAACCCTGTAAACCTCTACAGATCTTAGGGGCGACGATGCTGGCGCTGGGGTTCTGGCTCACCCTGGACATCACCTTCAAGAACTGGGTAATAGACCTGGGGATGGAGCGCTTCTGGGTCGGGGTGTACATCCTGATGGCTGCCGGCGTGCTCGTCATGCTCCAGTCCTTCTTCGGTATCTGCGGAGCATTTCAGAGGAAAGGCAGGATGCTTGTCGTGGTGAGTGGAAAGAGAGAGAGAGAGAGTTTGGATAAAACTTATTCACAAAATTAACAATGCTACTTATGTCTCTCGAATATTGTTATTATTATTATTATTATTATTATTATTATTATTATTATTATTATTGTTATTATTATATCTTGCAGGAATATCTGGAAAACGATAAAAAAATACAAAAAGGATGTTTTCCTCTCAGCAGTGAATGATTGTGTCCCACACTGTGATGGCCCGCTGTGTCTCTCCTCCCTAATGACCATTAATTTACTTACTAATGGACTAAAATGGGACTTGTCAATAACGCTGACTGTATATGTCAGAACGTCTGGTTGAGAGAGAGAGAGAGAGAGAGAGAGAGAGAGACTTAGTGAGGAAATAGTAATATGAAGGGTTGTCAAATATTAAATCTCTTCTCACCTAGTCATTTGCTTACATAGGGTATAGGCACACATATATTAGCCTTTTAGTGATCCTTCTTACTGACCCACAGTTCTGCGGGAGCTTGGTGATCTGCTTCGTATTGGAGATCGTTGGAGGTACGTATATGCTGGCCAACGGGATCCAACACTCGCTCATCGAGGACTGGTTGCACAATCGCTTCTATCACTTCATCGACGTGTTCGACCAAGACGAGGGTGCCAGGAGGATCATGAATATTATCCAGCAATATGTGAGTACCGGGCAGAGCGAAGTAGGACGGGGCGGGGCGGATGAGGGTGAGGTGGAGGAGGGCGAAGCGGGGTGGAGGAGGGCGAAGCGGGGTGGAGGAGGGGAGGGCGGGGCGAGGCAGGGCGTGACCGAATGGGACGAGGCAGGATGGGGTGGGGCAGGGCGGTGCGAGGCAGGGCAGGGTGAGGCAGGACGGGACGGGCCAGAGCAAGTCAGTGTAGGAAAGGGTGCAAATTGCCGTTCCTTTACCAGAACATCTGAAGAAAACGGGTGAGTTAAGTCCTGGTTCTCAGCATTATTTTGAGGTATTTGTGCACAAAGGGAGTCAGTGGCTGAGGTAGAGAGGTATAAGGACTCATGGACTGGCACGAGACTCACCACTCCTGGCCGGGGGTGAGGCATGTCCATCCCTCGTAAAGACCTTCAGGAGTGAGGTGCTTCCCCGTCTGCTCCTTGAGATATGCTAAACACTGTCAGTTGATTGAGAATATCCAACGGAGAGGCACCAGAATGTTGCCTGCACTACTGCACCTCAGCTACCCAAAGAGATGAGAACACCTGTATCTGCCTAGCTTATACTACAGACGGGCAAGGGGTGACCTAATTGAAGTGTATAAGTCTCTCAGAGGGCCTTACTCAGCCGAGTGTCCATGGCTGGAGCTAGCGGCGACCCGCCCCACAAGGGGCAAACTTTTCGGAGTGAGAGTTGTGAACTCTTGGAACAATCTGCCAGAGAGTGTTGTGACGGCAGCGAGTGTGAGCTCTTTCAAGATCAGACTTGACCAACGCTGGAGCAGGTTCAGATACATCCAGGAGCCAGTACATGCCCAGTACTTGCCAACAGTGTTTAGCAAACCAAGCGGCTAGCTGATCAGTGGCGAAGATGATGAAAGTAAGAAAGTAAATTAAAGTAACTGGGGAAAATCCGTAGTTAGCTGACGTCATTCTGGCGTAATGGCCGGTGTTGCCACAACAGTCACGTGACCTCTGACGCTTTGATTGTACAAAATAAAACACCATGGATATACCAAAAGACACTCTAGATCTGATGGCGACCTTCCATACAGAAGTGAATGAGAACGAAGATAACACTACTAAGACTACGAAAGATGCTGAGGAGACAAACACGGAGAAACGAGGTACTAAACAGGCCTCATGGGATCACATTGATTACATCTGTTCCAGTTCCGGTAAGCGCGCCAACTACCCTAATTCTGGCAGTGAAATTGACTCAGACACCCATCACCAACAAGCATAAAACACTAATATCAAAGACAATTCATCAATTGAAAAACCGAGGAGAGAAATTACTTCTTAAGTTCAAGCCAAGTGGAGCAACAAGCAGTGGGGTGAAGACTGGCCTACTCTGGGTCCACCACGTACGTTACCAAGTCCACCCGGCGGCTCAAGACAACCTAGCATCACCAGAGTCAGGTCCCCAGACGTTACTAACACCCTCCTCCTCCTGACCAAACTTCCCTCCAGGAGACAAGCCTGGCACTTGACAGTATTAGGGACCTGTCACGCTTTTCCATAAACAGATGAATTGTATCGGGAATTCTCCTCCCACACACTCCTCCTCCTGCCACTATATGTAACTTGACGACAAAACCCATGACCCTTCAGGCACTTGCGTCACTAATGTAGGCGAGCATGAACTCCGCATGCTTCTCTGATGGGCGCTGTAAACTCTTTTGCGCTTTGCTTTGCACAAAATGCAAGAGGGTGCCCAATAAACTAGCCAATCGCGGGGAAAATCTGAAATCTGAAATCTTTCTCTCTTTATCTCTCTCCCTTCCCTTTCTCTCTCTCATTCACACAACACAACAGTAAAGTTTAGCACCTGTGAAAAATTAAACAGGTCCTCTGTTGAAGGTTGGACAACAGTTAGCCAACAACCTGATTGGCTGATACGCAAATGAATGAGAGGCGTGATCTACATGACATATACAATGCTTATTTTGTTGATAGAATTATTCTTGAGGACCACGCGCCGGATTAACACGAAACGGTTAAGAATTGTTAGTTGGTGATGTTAATACAGGTAAGTGAACACCAGTTAGTTAACAGTCTTGTGACGATGATGTTAACAACCCAGGTTAAGTGAAGGTCTCCGCCAGCCTGTACTTGCTTCACGGTCCCAACACGACACCTCCATAACTCCCGCCATAAGAGCTGGTCATTTAGTCATAGAGGGCGCGGTGTCGTCGTGTGCCGCCATCACCCTCTAATGTCTACACCACAAAGTAACATATCCCGGGTCATACGTTAACGCCATTCTTCAGGTGTAACAGGTTTATGTGAGGTCAAATTGTCTCAATCGAGGGCAGTAAGTTAGTTTTAAATTATTACTCTTTCACGGGATTATGATCTGTCATTTTCCACACCTGTGTGTTACGCTTAGTCGCAGGATAACAGAGCACAGGCGGTGTTCTTCAGGGTTTACGTGTTTCTCATTGACTCAGTATTCGTAGGGTGTTGGATTCTACTGAACATGGTCGCGTAGTGTACTAGATTTTTCTCATCTCTTTGATAGGGATCTAAATTCCACTGAATAAAAAGATGTAGTGTGGATTCTTTCAGATTCCAATACGTTGATAAGTTGTTTTTTTAGCCCCCGTCCAGCTCTTGAATCTGTAAACGGATATAATGGTGAATGCTGTTTGTGTGGCCTTGAACAAGTTTTTATAAATGACTATATTTATCTAAAAAAAATTTGCCCCAAATGATTACAAATGTACAAAAAACCATCAATAATTCCTCGTATCATCTAGGTTCCAATTGACAGTCTCGCAGAGGAAACAGCGTACAGTACCGAGTAGATTTTCAGTGGAATTTTGATGTCTTTTTGTGCCGCCATCTCAAGTGAGCCAGTCAGTTTCGTATAGATCCTGGGGAACCTGGCCTTGTGTGTGCTGAGTGTCGGAGTGCGTTGAAAGTCATCACAATTGTTAAAAGCTGGACTGTATGTGATAATTTACACTAATGACTATATCATCAAGAAACACACGCACACACACATACACCACCTGAGCCCCGTACACACACACCCACACACACACGCTGGGCAGACTCCAAAGATCATTACACTACAATACAGTGAACAATAACTCAGTGTAGGTCAAGATGTCCTGCAGTAACTACGTCCTCAGCCAAATTTATAATTCCCTCAGGCGGAGCAGTTCATTATCTCTAATGAGATATAAATAAATTTGAGGTAACTTCTCTTACCTGTAATCATCAAAACCCAACCTAAAATTTATAATAATATCATACTGTACATAACACCATAAAAAAACATTAAAAATATCACACACACACACACACACGGTAGAATGACCTCATTAACTAGCCACAACTGGGTAAGACCCGGACCGACACTTGAGAAACAAGGCGACCTAATGATAATTGGAGGCGGCCGCCAATGACCTTTGAGGAGGAGGAATAGTGAGGATAATAGGGGAGGGAGACGGAAGGGGGAGCGAGGAGGAGGGGAGGGGGAGGGGGTTACTGTCTACCTTACCCGGCTAGGGGTGGAGGTCATATTGATCCAAGGGAAATGAGAGAAGGAAGGAGGAAAAGGGAAGACGGGAAATAAAGTAGAATAGGGAAGGAGGATGAGGAGAAGAGAAGGAAGGAGAAGAAAAGAAGAAAAGAGGAAGGTGAAAGGTAAGGGGGAAGCGAGGAAAGAGGGAAAGAAAGTAGAGGGGAAGGAGAAAGGGAAGAAGAGAGAAAGAGAAGTAAGGAGGAAGAAAGAAAGGAGAGATGGAGAACGGGAGGAAAAAATGGCAGTTAATAGAGGAAGGGAGAAGAAAGAAAGGAAAAATGAAGGCGGGAAAGAAAGTTGGAGGGGATGAAGGAAGGATGGAAAAGAAAAGAAGGACGGATAGAAGAAAGAAGTAAGGCGAATGGGAAGAAGGAGAAAATGAATAAAAGGACAAGGGAAGAAGTGAAGATGAGAAAAAGAGGTAAAGGAGAAATAAAATGAGAGAGAACAAGATAAAGTAGTAAAATGGAGGATAGACAAGAAGGAATAAACGAAAGGATTGTAAGAGGGAGAACTAAACACGTAAACAATATACTTGACATGATATAAACTAAATAAATAAGTTAACACTTTAATTTCAGATAGCGTCTTGGTTTAATTTTGGACGAACAGTTTTTTTTAGTTTTTTAGTTGTTTTCTTAGCGTAAGTCAACTAGTTCTGTATTTAATTACATATTTATTTACTAGGAATATTTAACCATAAGGACCGTAGATAATTGGGACTCGTAAACAGGAATAGGTATTGATTATGAGGAGTGTGCTAAGTGACGTCGTGTTCGTATAATAACACTCTGACGGTGATGGAATTGGGTACTCCTGCGCCCACACAATCACTCCCACACTACCACGCGCCTCCTACACTACCACACGCTGTTAAATTAGGGAAAAAACACTCATATAATCTTTTTCTCTTTCTTTAATTCTCTCATAAATGTGACGTTTACATTAATTTGGTGTTGGTGAATGGCATGATGGAGGCTGAGAATAGTAGTTTCTTCACCGACCTATAAACGTTTTGATGCGCTATTTTACACGTACTTTTGGGAGACTTACCCGACCTTTCCTTATGTTAGTGGGGCGAGTGAGGGGTGTCAAATATTCAGGTGATGTTTAATATGTAGTAAGAAGACAGACACACCCCCGCATACAAGGAGTTAGAGACTGAACGTAAAATCTTTCAGAATCCTCGTTATTTGTCCTTCCGTTATGGTTTGATAGTCGAGGAACAGATGCCATTAATCTCTTGCCTACGTTAACTTTACCTCTTGAATCTGATGACTTAACCCTCACTACGATGACTACGATGACTTAACCTCATGATTACGATGACTTAATTACCTCGTTGCATTTGGCAATTCAAAGTTCAAGCGCAACTTTCAATCACGTTTCTCCTTCAATAACCTCTGTTATATCGTTAACTTAAATCAAGACAAATTGAACAGTAAGTTCTAGTCTAACAACATTTATAACACATCAAATCACAGTTCGATCAATAAACTCTTTTTCAACTTTCAAATATTCAAATAAAAAAAATAAAAAAAATAACGACCAAATTCTTTCCTTCAGCAGTATTTCTAAGTTGGTTCTTCCTACATCAAAACCCACAACTCAGTCAACCACAAGTAATCCAAACTAAAGAAAGCCTTTATCCTCGTCTTCCCTGTAACGGCACCTGTAATGGACAGTCGACACTAACGTCAACACAATTATAATCACAAATTATTCATTGTAAGTCAGAGAATTTCCAACCACTTCTCCCCTTCAACACCGCCTCACAACAACTGCAGTCCCGTCCCACACCGAAATACCTGAACTCCCAGTAACCCAAAGTCCTCTCTGGGAATCCCCGCACCTCAAAACTTTCTCCAACAATGATCCCACAAACTTGGCTTTTCTTCCAGGGTGCGTCTCCATTTCTCTCTTCCCTCCAGTTGCTCAGCCCTCGACAAAGGCCGTGTCCATCCTCAATATGAAAAATACCTCGTCCTCATTGTGGGAGTGCGTCCTGTCCCTCCTCTTGAGAGACCTTGTGTATATAGCCCAGTCAGTTCCTCCCTTATCATCACCTACCTTCCTTATGTCCGTCGTTCATTATCTGCTTTCCCTCTTTCCCTCTCTCCCTCCGTCATGTTTGTCGTTCATTATTTCTTCACATTCGCCAGTTATCGTCTTCTCTCTCTCTCTCACCTTCATCGTCCATTATCTACCTTCCCTCATGTCCGCTGCTAAACAAACAAACTGTCATTACTTAGCCGTGGGGCGTGGGCGTGGGCGTGGGTGTGGGAAGGAGATGTATGACCTTGGTTGACTGACCCTGCACTTAACCTGTCGAGTCTCGGTCACCTTACTGATCACTCGCCAGGGGGTCCTCTGTCATCCTGTCGCTGTGGTTATCTGTCTCTTTCTCACTGTCTCTTCGACATTCTCTCTGCTTTTGTTTTTCTTTTTCTCTTTCAGTTCGTATCGTCATTTATCCACTTGTGTCGATTTCTCTCATTTCACTTGTCGTGTTGCCTTTGTATCTCTCTCTCTGCATCTCTCTCTTTCTGCGTATCTTTCTCCCTCTCTCCCTTTCTCTGATTCAATGTCTCTCTCTCTCTCTCTCTCTCTCTCATCCGACAGAATTTCTTCTTCGGGACTATAAGTGAATCCCTTAAACACCTTCGTTTTGTCTCTGTCATATTACCTGGCCAGGTAAAGACACTCTTCACCTTAAGTCAATAAAAACGAACTTACTCTTTACCTTAAGTCAATGAAAACGCACTTAGTTATTTCAGTTAATCTTTATTTAATAGTTTATAGATATGATTGTTAGTTGACTGATTACTCTTATTATGTTCCTCTATTCTATTTCACCCTCTTCCTTCTCTTGTCTCACCTCCTTCCTACCTTCTCTTGCTTCTCCTTGACCCCAGGCATCCCTCGACGTCACCATGACCTCATCCCCTACCCCATTGGTTGTTGGAGATGTAGTAATTAACCTCTAGCATGACCTGACCTGGAATGACCTTCCTACCTTCCTTAGACACTACTACAACCACTACGACAGGGTCTATGCCAGTGGTGTCAAACTCAAAACCTTTCGAGGGCCAATTCTTATTTTAGTTACCCTCTTCAGGGCCAACACAAGTGCTATATCACATATTCGAGAATTTGAGCTGAGCCGTCTTTAACTGTCTCGCTGTTAATTCCGGGTTGGAGCCTGGGCGGAGGGGAGGGGGTGAGTTCTTCTTCTCATATTTATAAACATGGATGACATCTGCTTTCTGGTGACTCGTGTGGTCGTTGATTGGTTCAAATGGGCCTCAGTCTTAAGCCTCCCATTTGAACCTAAGCCAATCCAAATAATAAGATTCAGGCCTTTCAAAATTGCTCTCCTTTTAGAATTGGGACCCATTAGCATTAGAGTCCATAGGATTAAGTACCATTTAGATTGGGGCCCATAAATGATCGGGGCCTTACTAGGATTAGGGGGGGTGGGAGGGCCATAAAGAATAGAGTCACTAGAAGTAGAAAACCATTAAGATTGGAGGTCAATATTTTAACCACCATGTTGTGTGTGTGTACAGGTCGGGTGCTGTGGGGTGGAAGGCGTCATGGATTATACTAGATGGCACAAAGTAGTCCCAGAGACCTGCTTCGACCAAGTCACCGGCAACGTCTGGTGAGTCATATATCTAACTTTAGTCTCGTGAAGTTAAACCTAAGAATTTTTATTTCGAAATATTGTAAAAAAAACACTTTCAATTGATGACCCGGTAGAGTAAATCACTGAATTTTATTTCCTAGTAAATTAATCACTAATATTTTTTGATTAACACTGTTAATTTATTTGGGATTATAGTTTTTCATCTGCTGAATTAGTTAGTCAGTCAGTCATTCAGTCAGTCAGTCAGTCATTCAGTCAGTCAGTCAGTCAGTCAGTCAGTCATTCAGTCAGTCAGTCAGTCAGTCAGTCAGTCAGTCAGTCAGTCAGTCAGTCCTTAAATTGTATCACTAACATTACTGTGTCAATGTCTTATCTATAACCCTTATTCCCTTATCCTCTCTTTCCAGCCTGTTACCTCTTTCCCTTCTCCCCCCTCTCCCCCCTTCTCTCCCCTCTCTCTCATCCTCTTCCCTCTCTCTCCTCCACCCCTCAGTAACACGTGTCTCCCTCAGGTACTTGAGCGGGACAGGGTCGGTGGGTTGCGTCAGGAAGTTCACCAGCTATCTAGAAGGTAAGGCTGGCTGGATCGCTGGCCTTGCCTTCTTTCTCGCCTTCTTCCAGGTACGTTACTGAGCTACTTATGTTACCTGTGCTACTTACCTATGTTAATTAATACCTTATGTTACCTGTGCTACTTACCTATGTTAATTAATACCTTACGTTACCTGTGCTGCTTACCTATGTTAATTAATACCTTACGTTACCTGTGCTACGTACCTATGTTAATTAATACCTTACGTTACCTGTGCTACTTACCTATGTTAATTAATACCTTATGTTACCTGTGCTACTTACCTATGTTAATTAATACCTTACGTTACCTGTGCTACTTACCTATGTTAATTAATACCTTACGTTACCTGTGCTACTTACCTATGTTAATTAATACCTTATGTTACCTGTGCTACTTACCTATGTTGCTTAATACCCTTACGTTACTTAATTAATAGCTTGTGTTACCGATTTACTTATCTATTTACTCATATTACTTAATTATTTATATTATTTACTTGTTTACTTGTTCATTATCACTACTTATGATTCTCTACATCTGTTTCTTATATATTTATTCATGTTCCTTTTTTCTTTCTGTCTTCGTAAATCTATCTTTTCCACTGTCTCTCTCTCTCTCTCTCTCTCTCTCTCTCTCTCTCTGTAAGTCTGGCTGTCTGTCTTTCTATCTCCTTGTCTGTCTCTCTTTCTGTTTCTTTCTCCTCTCATCTCCCAGCCGCTTATATTTCCCATTCCCTTATGTCTCTTTATCTCTCATCTTAATCTCTCTTTCCGCAGATATTCAGCTTCTTCGCAGCTTTTTGTCTCATCAAGCTGAAGAGAGACTACCAGAAGAGTCAGGAATATCTCGATCGTTAACGGGTGCTATTATCTCTCCCCCCCAGCTGCTATTAACTCTCCTCCTAGCTGCAATTAACTCTCCTCCTAGCTGCTATTAACTCTCCACCCCAGCTGCTATTATCTCTCCTCTACAGCTGCTATTAACTCTCCTCCCCAGCTGCTATTATCTCTCCACCCCAGCTGGTGCTATTATCTCTCCCCCCCAGCTGCTATTAACTCTCCTCCTAGCTGCAATTAACTCTCCTCCTAGCTGCTATTAACTCTCCACCCCAGCTGCTATTATCTCTCCTCTACAGCTGCTATTAACTCTCCTCCCCAGCTGCTATTCTCACTGACTTAACTCTTACCTCTGGCTGACTGACTTAAGCTGACGCCTGTAATTAATTCATTTAAGCTGACATTTCTAGCTGACCGAATTAAGCTGATGTCTCGAATTAACTACCTGACTTTAATTGAAGCCTCCAAGTGACTGATTTTAAACTGTCTTGATTTCCTGACTTAAGCTGACGTCCTGACTTCAACTGAGGCCTCCAAGTATAGTGGACTAAAAGTAATGCCTCAAACTGAGTGAGAAAGCTGACGCCTCTACATTAAATGATTGACTTAAACTGACGTCTCTGAATTAAATTGATGCATCTAAAATTCTAAATGAATCTTGTTTCCTTTAACTAACTGACTGATTGATTGACTGACTGACTGACTGACTGACTTGAACTGATTCTGCTGACTGACTCTCTTAGTCTCTCCTACAAACGGATGAGAAGTTAAGTGGTCTTCATTACGGTTCTATCCAGTTACGAGGAAATAAAGTCACCCATTAATTCTTTTGAAAATCCCGCCAAGAAAAAGAGCGCCACCACGGGCAGAAAGGTGGAAGAAGATCGCCTGGTGCATGATTCTTCAAGAGTATGGCTGCGGACTGGAAAAACGAAACGCCAGGCACTGCTGTTTTCTTGTGCTGGCGTTGCTTTAGTGATAAAGGATGAAGGCTCTTGTATTGATATTCACCACGAAGAACTACCAGTATTATTTGAGTTGTCTTAGGACGTTTCTTTCTTGTTAAAATCTCCAGAACTTGTAATCAGAACCATCAGTATTGTGTTAGCGGCTGTAGAACCACTGTACCTTATTAGAAGGTTCAGAACTACCAAACAGAACTGTCAATGTACTGTCGTGTTTGTGTTCGGTCATCGTGTCTTGGTAGAAACTTGTAGAACTAACCGCTAGGAACTGCCAAGACATTTATCTTTGTTAGGACCTCTTCAGAAACTATCACAAGACTACTATATCATTCTAGAACCTCAAGAACTATCGCTACATCTTCATAATGCCTAAAGCAGAACTCAAGAGCATACTATCTTGTTAAGGCCAAGTACTAACCCCCTAGAACAGTTCTCTCTGGCTAGGACCTCTATACAGTACCCTTCTATTTGGTTAGGATCACCATCACCTATACCTGGAACCTCTAGATTAACTTGAAGGGTCCCTGAATCTTAGCTTTGCCTTAGGTCTAGGTTGATAGTCCATTGGAAGTTCTGTATAGATAATGATTTTTTTTTCACCTATGATATGTATGTCTGTAGTGTTAGTAGAATGGTGAACATTTATATGCATCACCTGTAACTTAGTTTTATAAACGACTCGGACTGTTGTGTAGATAATATTATTTAGTTATTAAGTATATGTAGCTAGAATGTTTACTTTAACACCTACAACCGTGAAGGATAACTACAACACTCTCTTGGAGCATCTGCAACTCTTTATCTTGTACCTCGACATCACAACTTGCACTGTTCCTCCTACCTCCTACACACACTGTTACTCTACCTCCTACACACACTGTTCCTCTACCTCCTACACACACTGTTCCTCTACCTCCTACACACACTGTTCCTCTACCTCCTACACACACTGTTCCTCCACCTCCTACACACACTGTTCCTCCACCTCCTACACACACACTGTTCCTCTACCTCCTACACACACTGTTCCTCTACCTCCTACACACACTGTTCCTCCACCTCCCACACACACTGTTACTCTCACCTCCTGTTCCTCTACACACACACTGTTCCTCTTACACACTCCTACCTCCCACACACACTGTTCCTCCACACACACTGTTACCTACCTCCTACACACACACACTGTTACCTACCTCCTACACACACACACACACACTGTTACTCCTACCCCCACACACACTGTTCCTCTACCCCTACACACACATGTTCCTCTCCACCTCCACACACACACTGTTCCTCCAATTCCCTACACACACTGTTCCCTACCTCCTACACACACTGTTCCCTACACACACACTGTTCCTCCCTCCTACACACTGTTACTCTCTACATCCACCTACACACACACTGTTCCTCTACCTCCCACACACACTGTTACTCTCACCTCCTACACACACTGTTCCTCACCTCCTACACACACTGTTACTTACCACTCCCACACACACTGTCTCTCCACCTCCCACACACACTGTTCCTCCTACACACACTGTTCCACTGCCCTCACACACACTGTTCCTCTACCTCCCACACACTGTTCCCCACCTCCCACACACACTGTTCCTCCACCCCACACACACACTGTTCCTCTCCTCCTGCCTTCACACACTGTTCCTCCACCTCCCACACACACTGTTCCTCACCTCCACACACACTGTTACCCACCTCCTCCTACACACACTGTTCCTCCACCTCCTACACACACTGTTACTCTACCTCCTACACACACTGTCTCTCCCACTCCCTACACACTGTTCCTCCACCTCCTACACACACACTGTTCCCACCCCACACACACCACACACACTCTACCTCCTACACACACTTCCCCCACACACTGCCCCACTCCCACACACACTGTTCCTCTACCTCCACACACACACTGGTTCCTCCACCCCCACACACCTCTACCACACTGTTCCTCTCACCTCCTACACACACTGTTCCTCCACCCTCCACACACACACTCTCCTCCCATGCCACACACTGTTCCTGCACACTGTCTCCCACCTCCCACACACACTGTTCCCTCTGGCCTCCACACACACACTGTTCCTCCACCTCCCACACCTCCCACACACACTGTTCCTCTCACCTCCTACACACACTGTTCCTACCTCCCACACACACTGTTCCTCCCCACCTCCACACACACTGTTCCTCTACCTCCCCACACACACTGTTCCTCCACCTCCTACACACACTGTTCCTCCCCACCTCCACACACACACTGTTCCTCCACCTCCTACACACACTCCCCTCCTACACACACTGTTCCTCACCTCCCACACACACTGTTCCTCCACCTCCTACACACACTGTTCCTACCTCCTACACACTGTTCTCCACCTCCCCACACACACTGTTCCTCCTCCCACACACTGTTACTCTCCTCCCACACACACCTGTTACTCTACCTCCTACACACACTGTTCCTCCTACCTCCTACACACACTGTTCCTCCTACCTCCTACACACACTGTTCCTCCACCTCCTACACACACTGTTCCTCTACCTCCTACACACACTGTTCCTCCACCTCCTACACACACTGTTCCTCTACCTCCTACACACACTGTTCCTCCACCTCCTTCACACACACTGCCACACATTGTTCAATAACTTAATCACACTCAAGAGTTTACAGTATAGATTGTGAGAGTTTCCTTGTACTGTACAGTATAGTCACAACAGCTGTGTTATTCTATAATAGTATCACCTCCTCCTCTTATTCTTCGTTTTTATCCTTCATTTTCTTCCATATTCTAATTACTTCTTTTCTTTCTTTACTTTATCTTTACCTTCCTCTTTCCTCTTTTTTATTTAATGTCTTTCTCACATCTTTACCCGCTGCTCTTATTCTATTATTATTCAAGTCTGTCTGAGCTCACATCACTTTACACAATATCAGAAATAATAACATTACATAGCAACAACATGAGATACAGTACCATCTTATATCAGTACACTTTACATTCAAAACGTTTAAAAATGCTAACATTAAACCCAACCACCAAATCGAGTGTGCATACCAACACACACGTAGGTAACCACTCAACTATACTTGTAACACTTCCATTATGCGTGAACTTACTCTGTACCTGTACTCCCTTAGGTTTAAGACGGCAACACTGCTTTGTTGCTGGTGTTGTGAAACTATGTTGTAATGTGTGTTTAGTTTGATAACATAAGGAATATAATTAATGTTTTTTCCCATTCATTATTGAACAAAACAGTTTTTAACCTGCACTCTCTTGCCTTTAGTCTGAGAAATTTGTGGGCGTGTCGGTGTTGTGGTTATATTTAGATATTTTATGTAAAGATTTAAAAAAAAATAAAGACATAAGAGTCTAGCGTCTTTTATTTTCATGGTCAGTTTGTGAGTCAAGCAATTTTTTGTTTGTACTTCCTAGTGCGGCGACCGAGTGGAGAGAGCGCTCAATTCCTGTTCTAAGGGTTACTGGTTCGATCTCGACGCACTCCCAGACCGCAGTCTACCCAAATTAAAACTGGTACCTCATTTAACCAGTTGAAAAGTGAAGGTGGTCGAGTTCAGTGCCTGCCACACTGCCTTGTTGTGTACCAAAAGCTTAATATACTGTACACTGTCCTTATTAGGCCATCATTCATCGTCATTCCATAGTGTTCAAGACGGCGTCCCTGTCCCGAACTCTGATTCTTAAAGGTTAATAAGAATACATTTATTGTTTTTTTGACAAATAAAAACCAGGCCATTGTTGTTGTCAGATCTATCCGCCATGCCTACTCCTTGCCATAGACTGGAGACATCTGAAGCAGGATGAAGTGATCAGGTTGAGGTTATACGATATAGGAAAACACATTGTGACAGGAAGCTCTTTAGATCATAAGAGAGTTTTGGCAGACATAGGTTCTGCAGAATGGACTTTCAACAAAAATATCACGAGATCTCCCAGATGCCCTCCTGATGGTGCATAGTGGTGACCCTACTGAGTATAGCTCGTCACAACACTGACTGAAAATATCTTTAAAACAGAGAAAGTTACAAGATTATCCCCAGGAGTGTGGCAGTGCTGCAGTTTTCTCACATTACTGTTGATTGTTTTATGTTTGTTTTTCTGCACCGACTCGAGGAGGCGGAGTGCTCCAACACCACAGCCAGCCTTCTGTACCCCTACACCACACCCAACCTACTGTACCCCTACACCACACCCAACCTACTGTACTCCTACACCACACCCAACCTACTGTACCCCTACACCACACCCAACCTACTGTACTCCTACACCACACCCAACCTACTGTACCCCTACACCACACCCAACCTACTGTACCCCTACACCACAGCCAACCTACTGTACCCCTACACCACACCCAACCTACTGTACCCCTACACCACACCCAACCTACTGTACCCCTACACCACACCCAACCTACTGTACTGTACAGATAACAGTTGGGTCAGGTTCTGAAGACGAGTCCAAGACACAATGAGGCAATTTTGACCTGAATGCATTAAGTTCTGAAGCGTTTGTTGATATTAATATTTAATTATAGAAAAATTAGGAAGCAACAGAGAGAGAGAGAGAGAGCGAGAGAGAGAGAGCGAGAGAGAGAGAGAGAGAGAGAGAGAGAGAGAGAGAGAGAGAGAGAGAGACTGTTTCCATCCATTTGAAGTTGAATTAATTTTTGATTAGAATAAAAATGCTGGAATATCTTCGGGTCATTAATTAAGAGGAGGTGGTGAGGGTGAGGGAGTGTGAGGGAGGTGGTGAGGGTGAGGGAGGCGGTTACTGTAAGGAGGGTGGGGGAAAGGGAGGGAGATGGTGAGTGAGGGATAGGGTAAGTTACGCACGCGGGCGGATGAGGGTGGTGAGAAGAGTGAGGGAGGAGAGTGAGGGTGGTAGGGAGGGAGCAGAGAGTGAGGAAGGTAAAAGGGTGCAGAAAGTGTGGGAGGTAGGGAGGGAGCAGAGAGTGTGGGAGGTGGGGAGGGAGCAGAGAGTGTGGGAGGTGGGGAGGAGCAGAGAGGGGGAGGGGAGGGAGCAGAGAGTGTGGGAGGTGGGGAGGGAGCAGAGAGTGTGGGAGGTAGGGGAGGAGCAGAGTGTGGGAGGGGGAGGGAGGCAGAGAGGTGGGAGGTAGGGGAGGGAGGAGAGTGGGAGGTGGGGAGGGAGGAGAGTGAGGGTGGTAGGGAGGGAGCAGAGAGTGAGGAAGGTAAAAGGGTGCAGAAAGTGTGGGAGGTAGGGAGGGAGCAGAGAGTGTGGGAGGTGGGGAGGGAGCAGAGAGTGTGGGAGGTGGGGAGGGAGCAGAGAGTGTGGGAGGTGGGGAGGGAGCAGAGAGTGTGGGAGGTGGGGAGGGAGCAGAGAGTGTGGGAGGTGGGGAGGGTGAGGAAGGTGGGAGAGGCGGGGTGGGAAGGGGTTAGAGTGTGTCAATAGCCGTGAGTGGGTGGCGTGATCCCCGGGACGCTCTCAATGGCTCCCTGAAAACCCACTTAACTTTCATTTCTTAGTATTCATTATTTTCCCTTCGTTTCTGTTATATATTGAGTTTTTACTTTTTAATTATTCGTTTTTTACCAATTAATTTAGAGCTTTTCGTTTCTTTATCGATCGTTTCCCGCCCTCTTCACTGTTCTTTATATCACCAAAGTTTATATCATTGGAAGAAGAAGTATTTACAATAACTTAATAATAAAATGAATATCAAACATGGAGGAGAAGATACTTGGATACTCGGCAAGATTTGGAGGAGACAGTTTAGAGAACAGTGAACATAAAGTGATTCTATAAGTTTTCTATTCATTGCATTGTGTTGTATACGACGTGTATCTGTCTGACTACACAACAGGCTGGCGAGGGCCACACAAGGATC